GTAGTTGCCTTTGCCTTGAGTGCTGCTCTGCCATAGCTGATAGTATCCCGTGCTCACTCTGTTATTTTTCTCTACATCGCCACTATCCACAATGCACTTGCCTATTATGACGAGAGTCCAGTGTGAAGGTCAGCAAGTGGCTTGATCTTTATGACTCGTCACTTGGGCCTAGGTCTTACGCCTGGGGTTCGTATTTAGATCAAAGAGGTACCTACTTGGCCCGCCCCGGAATAACCTCGGTTAGTTGCGTTGCCTAGGCTGACCTGCACTCATCTGCTCTTCTGCTCTCGCCTTATTTCATATAGTGTGATGACTCTATCTTAGCATCCCACACACCTCCTGATAACAAAGTGTGGGTGCTCATGTGTGGCTTTGTGTTTAATTGTGAGCTGTTCGGGAACCACTATGCTCGGGGCATGAGCTGGCACTCCTGGCTCAAGGTCTTTTCTTCTTGAATGACTTTTCCATAGTTCGGGTATTGGCGTTGTAAGTGTGTGTGCGCAGGCGTTTCAATGTCACCTCCATTTCCTCTTCCATGCTACTGCTTTTGAACTTTTTTGTATCCGCTTGCTGTTTGAATGCTCTTTTTCTCAATCTGTATTAGTACTTTCTGTTCATTGGCGCACGCATGTGCAATAAATAAATGCATAAACAAATAAATATAAACGCTTCAAACTCCTCTTATTCGTAGGCTTGACGTTGGTGCTTAGTCAACGAAAATTGTTAGAGCTGATTTCGAGCCACATCTTCTTGGTCGCAAACGTCCCATTCGGTTGTCTAGCTTTCAAAAGAATAGACTTTCATGGCTTATGCGTAATGACGGAGACACCGACTACGACTGCGTCTACAGTCGCATGTTTCGAAAAACAGCGCTTCCCCACCCTCAAATACAGCGCGCAGCGGGCGGTGCTTTCGCGCTAACGACGTACTCGATCTTCCTGGCTTGCATCACCAGATCTTTGATATGCGCTTCCGATGTAAGCGTTTGAACAATGTGAGTACAAATCGCCATCATAGTCCTCTCCTTTTGGGCAGCCTGTTTTTGCCCTGAAATTTTGGGGTCTTTTCCGAGAGTGCCTACGAAAGCTGCAGTATTGGAGAAACCCTCAGTTTCAGGGGAATGAAGCATTTTCAGAGCTGTCTTTGGCAAGTGAGTACCCAACAGTGGGGCTAGGTGACTCCGTTCTGACGTGGGAATGTTCTACTCTGTGTGTTAGCTAGGCGATCCCGGAGTGGGCGAAGGCTTCTTTCTGTAAGCAGCCCCGAATCCCCTCCCAGATACTTCCCATTCAGATGTATGTGCTAGTACTAGTACGCAATATCACTGTTCTCTTCTCGAAAGACGATATTCCCTTCAGTTAATGGAAACAGAGCAGTGCAGATGAGCAGAGGAAGCTGTTTGTAAGCTTGTCGGCTCGCTTACTTTCGTGTTCGCATGTTGATTGTGTCAAGGTATGGTACTTTATTATACAAACCCTTGAGCTCTATCAGACAACGAAGGAAAGGAACGAATTCATAATAATGTAAAGCTGCAACTGCAGATCTTACGCACTGACTTGGAAACTGTCTCGCTGAAGCATCGGCCAATTACATTGACTCTGTTCAGAATAACTTACAGCTTTCGCAGCTTGAAAGACAACATACGAAGACGGTTTACGGTTTTCACAAAGCAAGGTTTCACGAAGGGATCGAAGTGCTACAAGATGGGCTGTATTCATGCCAGACTATGTGTAATAAAGTACCTGTACGACCATCCATATCGTACTACATTTATAATGGAATTTCTTCGGAAGTGGTTGCCAGTAAAGAAGTTTCATTGATCAAGCAATATCCTGAGATAATTTGCTGGTTGTACATTGAAAAATGGGTAAACCATAACTTCCAGACTCTTTGGCCGAAATCTCGAATGAACAATTGGCCTCGTGCATACTTTGACGTACAGATATGCAGTGTTACAAGTACGAGGAGCTATTCTCCCTTGGGAACGGATGATGAAATATCCATGGGAAAGGGCTTGCTGTTGGTGGTTATGAATTTGGAATTCTTTCTCATTCACGGACAATAAGCGGAGAATTAGTAATCCGCCAAATTGGAGAAAACTAATTTGCTGGATCTTGTACACGTTACCACGTCTACAAAATATTATACGATTTTTATTATTTATTTGTAGTGAAATCTCATTGGAGAGACAAATGTCAGGGTCTCCCCGTACTGACCACTGTTTTTGTTTATGAACGGTTTCCCTCTCGTTTGCGAAACGCGCTCTGCAGTTGACTTCCATTAAGAATCGCAAGGGCGTTTTCAAACCACGCAATGAGCGTATTGTTCTTCTCTTGCGAAAATCAGAAAACAGTCAATCATGATTTACTACTCTCTTCTCCTTAGTCTGGTAGGATATTGACAACAGCTAGATTTCGGTCGACTGTTCACGGCGAAGTAGTGGTCTTTTGATTTCACAATCGGAAAGTGGCATCACATGCATTGTGGCAATATTTTCATCAGCAGACATGCGTGTAGCGGGAATGCATTCGTTTATTGCACCCATCTGCCAATCACGCTCTTCTCCGAAACGAAGCCAGAAAAGACAGTATTTCTTTCGAATCCTTGGTCTCCTTCTGGATAAGAACCATTCGAAGCTGTAGGTGTAGTAGAATATGCGGAGGTGCCTGATTTGCTCAAAACTGCGTAAAATTAGTTGTTTAAGGTGAAGCCTTGAAATCACAGTGGGCTGCTGAATCCCATGCCTCCACGGAATCGGGCTCGATTTGAAGGAAGCGCCGAACAACGATGAGAGGGGTATGAAACTGACTTGTAAAAGGCTGGGATACCGAGTGAGACGCAAGCATGCGTTTGACGAAGCACTTTAGCCTTTTTTAAGAAGAAAAAAATTCCGGCAACCCGATAGCAAACAAATCGAACCAAAATTCCCGTTCAATATAATGAATCATACCTCTGCAAGGTCATGCTCTCCAACATGCTCAGTTCGAGCTCGTCTTCACTTGTAAAGGGAACATTCGAGCCTGGAAGAAGTGAATTGAAATGACGAAGGAAATGAATGAATAAGCGTCAAGCCGCTTTCCCCTTTCCCCACACACAATTTTTATCAACAGCCCGTACCGAAACCAAACCACATTTGGAAAAATACACTCCCCACGAGATCAAGTAAAGAAATACGAAGTGTATTAGTTAAGAAATGGTGTCAAGAACGGTGTCTTCAATCAAATCCAAACTACCTTTGTGATCTCACAAACAGGGGGAGGCAGGTTGTGCAAAAGCAGGTACCAATTGTATTATAAACCTAGTGATGTCTAGGTATAAGTATAGTAAAACACAGTCGGTCCCACAGTACAGTAGTACAGTATACTACTGCAGTATGTGCAAAATACTCAGGATTTAGCACTTCATTGCAAATGCAACAATTACGATCTATCTCGAGAGGCTTTAAAGAGATTCCGTACGAGTAGACGAGTAAAATAACTAACCGACTGTGCTGTGAATTGCGCTTTTATTTAACATTTGCTTTCATAGCAAGTCTAGGGTTAAGGTTTCGAGCACAACTCCTACTCGTCATGACTATCGCTGCGATCGAGATACAGAATAACAGGATAATGTCCCAAAACTGTAGGCGACAAAATTCAGGAATTTTTGAGGCAGAAATGATTTCTTGATATCACCTCTTTCGTAATAATTAGTTTCATGGGTAGGTTTTCCCAGGCCTGCTTAGTTACCATGGTTAGACTCCTTATATCTTCAAGATGTGAAAGCCAGTTCAATGCCACTTGCAATCGCTCGCATGCAAGAGCCGGATGAGTAGAGTAAAATTTCTTGGGATTAGACTAGACGGAAAGCTATTAAACGATGCAGAAAAGCAGAATCTTGTCACTTCGGGTGACTAATGCATCCACAAGTACCAGTTGTTCATTGGGATTCATTTCTGTGGCGCAATACTACCAATTATGGGACCCACAATACATCTTCCGCTATCCTCTCTCGAAACCTTCTTGTTAGGATGGTTCAGTGGATTTAAATGATAACTCCGGTAATAACGGAGTAAAATACAGTAACTGTAATAGTAAGCGCGGTCGTTACCGCTATAAAATGAACAGGAAGAAAGTGCTAGTAATAATTATTTATCTTAAATACACTAAACCCACGTGCTGCCTTTGCTGTTGCTTTGGTAGGAGTGAGGGAGCTACTTATCTCGGGGCCGCTTGACCCCGCACCGTTCAGGGGCGTGGGTTAAGCTAGAGGGAATCGTCTCAGACGGCGAGACGACGAGATAGTAGTTAATGTGAGGTGATCGTCGTCTTAGACGACGATACT